TGTCACTGCGACCAGAATGGTACACAGAAACGTGGTGTTCGAGAGGTAGGCCATCGACTTCACCTTGACGCCTGGTTTCATCAACAGGTCCGCTGTAGACCTCGGTTGTTGGATAGTCTTCGTGAGCCGGTGTTCTCTTGAACATGCCAACGATTTTTCCAATGGTATCGGTCTTTTCTTTGGCTGGTTCTGGCACTGGCTCGGCATGCTTGGGCTCCTCAATGTCACTGCGACCAGAATGGTACACAGAAACGTGGTGTTCGAGAGGTAGGCCATCGACTTCACCTTGACGCCTGGTTTCATCAACAGGTCCGCTGTAGACCTCGGTTGTTGGATAGTCTTCGTGAGCCGGTGTTCTCTTGAACATGCCAACGATCTTGCCGATCTTGTCGGTCTTTTCTTTGGCTGGTTCTGGCACTGGCTCGGCATGCTTGGGCTCCTCAATGTCACTGCGACCAGAATGGTACACAGAGACGTGGTGTTCGAGAGGTAGGCCATCAACTTCGTCCTGGCGCCTGGTTTCATCAACAGGTCCGCTGTAGACCTCGGTTGTTGGATAGTCTTCGTGAGCCGGTGTTCTCTTGAACATGCCAACGATTTTTCCAATGGTATCGGTCTTTTCTTTGGCTGGCTCTGGCACTGGCTCGGCATGCTTGGGCTCCTCAATGTCACTGCGACCAGAATGGTACACAGAGACGTGGTGTTCGAGAGGTAGGCCATCAACTTCGTCCTGGCGCCTGGTTTCATCAACTGGTCCGCTGTAGACCTCGGTTGTTGGATAGTCTTCGTGAGCTGGTGTTCTCTTGAACATGCCAACGATCTTGCCGATCTTGTCGGTCTTTTCTTTGGCTGGTTCTGGCACTGGCTCGGCATGCTTGGGCTCCTCAATGTCACTGCGACCCGAATGGTACACAGAAACGTGGTGTTCGAGAGGCAGGCCATCGAGTTCACCTTGACGCCTGGTTTCATCAACAGGTCCGCTGTAGACCTCGGTTGTAGGATAGTCTTCGTGAGCTGGTGTTCTCTTGAACATGCCAACGATTTTTCCAATGGTATCGGTCTTTTCTTTGGCTGGCTCTGGCACTGGCTCGGCATACTTGGGCTCCTCAATGTCACTGCGACCAGAATGGTACACAGAGACGTGGTGTTCGAGAGGTAGGCCATCAACTTCGTCCTGGCGCCTGGTTTCATCAACAGGTCCGCTGTAGACCTCGGTTGTTGGATAGTCTTCGTGAGCCGGTGTTCTCTTGAACATGCCAACGATTTTTCCAATGGTATCGGTCTTTTCTTTGGCCGGCTCTGGCACTGGCTCGGCATGCTTGGGCTCCTCAATGTCACTGCGACCAGAATGGTACACAGAAACGTGTTGTTCGAGAGGCAGGCCATCGACTTCACCTTGACGCCTGGTTTCATCAACAGGTCCGCTGTAGACCTCGGTTGTTGGATAGTCTTCGTGAGCCGGTGTTCTCTTGAACATGCCAACGATTTTTCCAATGGTATCGGTCCTTTCTTTGGCTGGTTCTGGCACTGGCTCGGCATGCTTGGGCTCCTCAATGTCACTGCGACCAGAATGGTACACAGAAACGTGGTGTTCGAGAGGTAGGCCATCGACTTCACCTTGACGCCTGGTTTCATCAACAGGTCCGCTGTAGACCTCGGTTGTTGGATAGTCTTCGTGAGCCGGTGTTCTCTTGAACATGCCAACGATCTTGCCGATCTTGTCGGTCTTTTCTTTGGCTGGTTCTGGCACTGGCTCGGCATGCTTGGGCTCCTCAATGTCACTGCGACCAGAATGGTACACAGAGACGTGGTGTTCGAGAGGTAGGCCATCAACTTCGTCCTGGCGCCTGGTTTCATCAACAGGTCCGCTGTAGACCTCGGTTGTTGGATAGTCTTCGTGAGCCGGTGTTCTCTTGAACATGCCAACGATTTTTCCAATGGTATCGGTCTTTTCTTTGGCTGGCTCTGGCACTGGCTCGGCATGCTTGGGCTCCTCAATGTCACTGCGACCAGAATGGTACACAGAGACGTGGTGTTCGAGAGGTAGGCCATCAACTTCGTCCTGGCGCCTGGTTTCATCAACAGGTCCGCTGTAGACCTCGGTTGTTGGATAGTCTTCGTGAGCCGGTGTTCTCTTGAACATGCCAACGATTTTTCCAATGGTATCGGTCTTTTCTTTGGCCGGCTCTGGCACTGGCTCG